TTATTTGAAATTCCGTGGCTTCTATTCTGAAATTTTGTTTTTGTTTTTGAAGACAGGGTTTCTCTGTGCAGCTTTGGAGCCTGTCCTGGAACTCACTCTATAGACCAGGATAACCTTGAACTCACAGAATTCCACCTGCCTCTTCCTCCCAATGCTGGGACTAAAGGTATGTGCCACCACCACCCAGTTCTTCTTAAGTTCTTTGTTCCTTCGGTCAGAGCCCAACCTTGATCAGATTAGAATAAATATGTAGTTCACCTACTGGTTCATGGCTTATCCTCTACAATATCATAGAACCTGACATAAAGAAAGGCTGCATGGAGAAATTAGGTAGGAGGGGCAATAGCTTGGAACAGAGTTATCTTTGGCTGAGTATGACGCTCTTGGTGCAGCAGAAGCAGGGGATTAGCCTGGGATAGGAAAGCCATCAGAGCCTCACTAAGTACCCCCAAGGCTGCTGGACACATGCCAAATCATGTGTTCTTCAGCTCCTAGGCTTGCACCCAAAATGTACAAACCCAAAAGGCATGCAACAGACCCAACACACAGAAGATTATCAGAGATCAAGTCTAGTAAACAACCAATCAGCAGAAGGTCAGCTTTCTTCTTCATAACTTGCCCATGTGTGTGTGCCCGTGAGTATATGTGTATGTACATGCAGGTGTGTAAGCATGTGTTCTGAAGCTCAGAGGAAACCTCAGGTATCATCTTCAGAAATGCTGTCTATCTTCATTGAAACAGGAGCACTTTAGATTAGATTAGGCTAGCTACTCACAGAGCCCCAGGGATCTACCTGTCCCTGGTTCCCCAGCACTGGGATTGCAGCTACAAGCCTCATGTTATTAAGTGGGGATTGAACTCAGGTCCTCAGACTTGGAAGGCAAGCACATTACCGAATGAGCTGTCTCCCCAGCCCTAGGATGAATGTCTTTTGACTGAGGGCAGGAAAAGAAACTGATAAGATGTCCTTAGTCCCTTATATCACCATATGCCTGTATATTACCAGTATACATCAACTGAAACAACTGTGTGACCCCCAGAACCTGGAAGGACATGCCCAAGCCTGGGGGTAAATAGAACAAAGAAACTGCTCCCTCCGTGTACCAGATGGAGCTGGGGAGATGGCTCCCTAGGTGAAATGCTTGTCTTGCAAGCATAAAGACTTGAGTTACGATTCCCCTGAACCCATGGATTCTCAGTGCTGAGGAAGCTGAGACAGGAGGATTCCTGGGCCTCACTGGCCAGCCAGACTAGTCCTCTAGGTGAGTCCTAGGCCACTGAGAGACACTGTGTCAGAGAAGGTGAGCAGCGCTTGAGGAATGGCAGCCTCCCTGTCACATACACACACACGCACATACACACACACACACACACACAGGGACACACACACACCTGGATGTCCACAGTCACACATACAAATGCACACTCACAGAGGTGTCAGATGTATGCAGCAAACTGAAGAAACGTTGTCACTTTAGATAACATGGGTGAATAGATGGCACTCAGTAGGTGAGCCACACCTCTCTTAAAGGCCACCTCCTCTGACGGGCAAGCACTAAAGGAAGATCCCAAATCAGAAAACCTGAAGGTCCTGCTCATGTACACCGTGACATCGGGCAGACCTCTGCCCTCCTTAGGCCTCAGCCTTCCTCTATCCATCCAACGCCCTCGTGATCATGGTAAAATGGGGAAAGAATGGCGCACAGTGAGAGATGAGGAAGGTCAATGGAGTGGGGTGATAGAATATGGGGCTGGGACAGGAAAGGGGCTCCAGGTGGAGAGGGGAGATGGGAGGTGAGAGGTGGTAGTCATGAGGTCCCAGCAGCCAGGCCTGGGCATAGAGGACCGACCCTCCTCCTTCCCAATGCTCAGTACACTTCAAATTAATAATTAAAATGCTGCCTGTCAGATTCCAGCCTGACACATAATTAGAGCAACTCTGGGCTTCAGGCGACAGAGGTGAAAACAGCTCTCATTAGAAAGGGACTTTCCTGAGGATCAGGAAGGTGAGGGTGGAACCCTCCTCCCCAGATTCTTCACCAGGGCCTCCCTTCTGTCAACATAGGGATGAGGTTTCCTTTCTGGCTGCAGGGAGGCGGTGAACCTTGATGTCTCCACCTGTCCCTGGAGGTCGGATGAGATGCCATCCTAGACGAATCTGAAAGGGGAAGCTCCAAGAGCTAGGCAAGAAAGCGGGCACCTCGGAACTGCACAGAGCTTCCAAAGGCCAGCAAGACACATCTGTGGCCATGTGCAGATCCCCAGCCAACACCACAACCCATACTCAGGAGTTGCTACTTTGACCCTTCCAGCCAGGGCTACTGGAGATAGCTGAGCCTAGCCACCAACTCTTCAGGATTAAGACCACCCAAACCCCTCCCCCACCAAGTCATAGCACCCAATACTTCCTTCTAGAATACAGTCTTTCTCCAGTCCTAAGCCCCAAAGTTGTGGGTTCCAACCTATCTCAACCCCTAAGGATCATAGCCAGGACCTCCTGTCCATGGTTCTAAAGTCCAGTCTTCAGTTCTTCCGAAAGCCTGGCTTGTCTCCCCACCCCTCAACCACCAGCTCCCAAATCTAGTTCTTGAGTCCACACTCCGGGCCTCGACACCTATCGCCACTGCCAGGTTGGGTAACGGAGAGACCTGAGTGCCTACCACACAGGGCTTCACCAAGTGGGGCCACCTTCTAGAGCTGAGTAATGGAAGGGAGTCTGTGCTCAAACTACCTATTAAGAAGGAAATCATTTTAAAGCGATGTTGTGCGACTTCATTGAAGTTGCCTTCATAAATATTTCAGAGGTATTTATTAAGAAAACCACAGGAGCGGAGAGGAGGTTGGTGAGGCTGGAAGGAGAGACGGCTGATGGGATTTCAACTGTTGCTGCCACCAAGTGACACCTTTACTCTTTTGGAAGAGCTGGACCTGGTGGCTGCTAAGGTAGAAAACCCTACTTGGAGGGAGCATTGGCAACTCAGACGTCCCTGCTTTCGTTCTTTGGATAGAGCGGAGTCCCAAGGACACAGTATTGAGTTGGGGCAGGTACCCCCTGGGTCCTCCTCAGCTTTGTCTCCAGTGACGGGATACTTCATCCTTCCTCTGAGCTGAACCACACACAGCAGAGATGGGGATGGTTCTTTCAGACTAGCTGATGTTCCCAGAATGTCTTTGGTCCTTCTCTCTCACACTCCCACCCAGTGCACGCACCTATCCAAGACCACCACATGAACCAGGAGCAGCAGAGGAACCTCACAGGACTGGAGAGAGCACCATCCCTAGAAGGTCCTCAGCCCAGGGCCTGCCTCATTCCACACACAGGCAAGGAGGATCCTGCCTGGGGCCTGGAGAGGTCAGGAGCCTGCAGGCCATCATCCTCCTTAGAGAAACGACAGGAATGGAAGTCCAAAGACCATCTTTGATGATGCTCCACTTCTCAAGAAAGCTTTCTTCCCCAAGGCAGAGCCAACAAGGCAATTAAACTCCGAGTGTGTAGAATCGATCTGCAGGTCAAGAAATGGCATTGATTCCTGGTGCTGATTCTCCCGGGGCCGTGGCTGCCTCTCTCAGGTGCTCAGATCTCTGACTGTCACCTTTGGCTGAGCAGTGGGCTCTCTGCTCCATACCGCCGCTCTTCAGCTCCCACTATCTGACCATGCATGCTACCTCTATCAAGTTCCCTTACGCCTTCTGTTTGTCCTGGCTTTGCCTGACACTGTCCATTCACAGTGGAACGTGCAGGTCATGTGGCCCCAGGAAGGCTCTGCCCATTTCAGTCCTTGGAGAAAAGGGGTGCTTGCTGACCCCATTTTCCAGCGGCAGCCTACAAGGACACAGAACAATCAGTACTCAGCTCCCATGGGAACAGCACAGGTGATCCCAAAACAGGAAGTGGGAGTGGGCCATCAGCCTTCTGGTGCCTTCTCTAGTAAACAATAATAATAATAATAATAAAAAGAATTATTTGCAATTACCATGTCAGTTGTTTCTGGGTAAATAAAGGGCTTCTAAAAGATTTCTCAAGTAGCTTATTCCTTAAAGTAGGTTAAGGGCCCTTCGGTAGTCTCATTTGCATTATTCATTTGCTGGGAAATCCTTTTTTTCACGGAGATTGCAGAAGTAAACTCCAGCCACAGTCAGTCGGTTCAGAGAACTGAATTAATGTGGTCTGGGTCCATCTGGAGAAGGGTGGAGCTGGGGGGTGGTGCACAGTCTAGACCAGCTGCTGGGGCGGGGGCGGGGTGTCTCTGGGAAAACAATAGCCAGCCCTTTGTGTGGCTGGGAAACACTGAGTGCAGAGCTGGGTTGGGAAGGATGGGAGGAGAACATAGGACCAGAACAAGCGGAGAAGGGAGGGCAGGTGCTGGATGAGGCGAGAGCCTGGGTGAATACTGAGAGACACAATTCTGTGAATAAGAGACTTATGAATCCAAGCCAGGCTGTTTCAGCCACTCTGCCCTCTTGTCCTTCATGATCACCCCTCCATTCCCTTGGTATTACCCCCCCCCTCCCGTATGGGATGGAATATGGTCTCTATATACTGCTCCAAGGTATGAGGTGCTCAACCCAGGCCACTAGCACACTCTCCTGCTAGGCTGACCCAGGTCTTCCTGGACACAGACCATAGGACCCGCAGAAGAACAGAAGACAGACACCAAGGAAATCTGCACTCTGGCCATGCCTCCCAGTGCACTAAAGCCCTGAGCCTAACCTCCTAAGGAGGCCAAGCCACCTCTACAACCTGGCCAACATCATTAGCAGTGACAAGGACCTTGATGCAGCTGCAAAAACCATAGGGACATAGGACTGGAGAGATGGCTTAGCCATTAAGAGCACTGGCTGCTCTTTCAGAGGATCGAGTTCAATTCCCAGCACCATCCCTCTCCTGGACTATGTGGGCATCAGGCACAAAAGTGGTACACAGACCGGCTGGCCCCACACAGCGCCTGCGTGCTCAGTGACCTTTCCCAGGCTTGTGGGAATCTGGTGTGGCCTGTGGCCTTGATCCTGCTAAGATGCTTCAGAGTCTTATTAAGAATGTCTGGGTCCCCATGAAACCCTACTGTACCCAGGTTTACCAGGAAATTTGGGTAGGAATGGGATTGATGACCTTCATCCTCTATAAAATCAGGAGTGCTGATAAAAGAAGTAAAGCTTTGGAAGGCTCCAGTCCTGCCCCTGCCCATGGTCGTCACTAACTGCTCCCTGAGTCCACTCAAGATGAGTCCTGTCGGGGCTGGAGAGATGGCTCAGAGGTTAAGAGCATTGCCTGCTCTTCCAAAGGCCCTGAGTTCAATTCCCAGCAACCACATGGTGGTTCACAACCATTCTTAATGGGGTCTGGTGCCCTCTTCTGGCCTGCAGGCATACAGACAGAATATTGTATACATAATAAATAAATAAATAAACAAACAAATAAATAAATAAATAGATGAATCCTGTCGGCTAAACTTAAGCAAGCTGTGCTAGATGGGAACATGGAACATCACTGTACACTTTCCTAAGTGCCATTTACAATGTGGCATTAATAAATGTGTCTGAGCAACATCCTCCCTGTGGATACTAAAAAAAAAAAAAAGTGGTACACAGACAAACGTGCCAGAGGAACAAGAAATAGTGCATCAACTGGGCAGGAAAGATGGTTCAGTGGGTAAAGTTCCTGCTGTGCAAGTAGGAGGACCTAAGTTCAGATACCCAGAACTCACATAAGAAGCTGGACATGGGAAAGCATACCTATAACCCCAACACTGGGAGAGGCAGAGACAAGGAAGTCCCAGGAGCTTGCAGTCTAGCCCAAAAGAGCAAGCTCCAGGTTCAGTGAGAGATACTGCCTCAAAAAATAAGGTAGCGAACAAATAAGGAAAATAATCTGAAACCACCCTCTGCCACTTGTGCATGCATGGCTAAACACGCCTACATGCACACAAATAGATACATACATATACGTACAGACACACACACACACACACACACACACGAACGCATTGTTTCATTGGTAGCAATTCCACTGCATTACTTCAGCTAATAAGGCTTTGTAAACATGTAGGCATCTCCTCCTTACCTCCAACAGTACGAGCAACACAGTACAGGAACTTCCATGGAGTAACACAGGGCCTGGATGTAAATAGGCCACACACCTGGACCTGGGAGCATACTGACCTTGAACCATGAACCTTGGTGGCAAGTCTGGATCCTGAGGAGGAACTAGAGGCCAGAGGCCTGCAGGAATTTGAAGGAGGGGAGGCCAGTTGCAGTGGTAAAGACCAAAGAAGAGAGACACTAAGCTTAGTCACTCTGGCCAGTGTGGGTCTATAGTATAGTGGGGACCCCAGGATACTCTGGAGTAGGAACACCTCTATTATAAGGGTCAGGAAGAGAGAGAAGGCTATTTCCCTAATAGTGTGGGCACAGGCTCACAGACTGACAGTTGCTTACAGGAGGGAGACAGATGGTTCCTCCCCACACTGAGCATATAGTGCTGGAGAGAAGAGGGAGCCAGAATCAACCACGTGACTGTGCACATCTGGAGGCCCAGGAGGGTGACAAGAGAGAGACCCAGAGGGAGGAAGTAGAAGTGGGAAGGAGACCCCCATCTGCTATCAGAAAGCTGAAGAGACTTGGCCATCACACATGGCACCACATCCCTCTTCTCTCCGGGGCCTGGATGCATGATCTGACTGGGGACAGAACGTGGAGTTTCTGCTAACTTCCTGGGCCCCACAATGCATTTGACCACTTCCGCTGGTCTTCCTTACTCCAGTTTTCTGAGCTTCTGGCCACTGGAAACCAAGGATCCCTTGGTCAGATACAGTGGCGATGGAACAGCTGACTTGTCTTGGTGCCTCCTCTCAAAGCTCAGGGGTCTCTCTCAGAATTCCATTTTGCATTAACTTGCAAAGTCTGGCTAGAGCCCCGAGAGAACATGCATCAGCTATTCAGCAATGACCTCAACCAATTGCATCAGAACTTCTAGGGACGGAGCCCAAGCACCAGTGTTATTAAAACCTCCCTAAGTGATCTTAGTGAGCAGCCAGAGTGCACTGGACTAAATGGGGCCTGGAGCTTTGCGACTGGTGCGTCGTGCGCAGGATGAAGAAGGTTGCTCTCTTAGGAGTGGATACAGTATGAGCTCAGCCAGGGCTTCAATCTGGAAAGAACAATAATAAAATGTGTTTCGAGGAGGGCAAAGGGAAGTTTGGGGGTGGGGATGTTTTGCAGCACAGATGCTTGGGAAAGGTAGGAAGCAAAGGTCACAAACTTTCCATCTAAGGTCTGTCTGCCCTATGAGACCTAGATTTCTCCCTGCTCCAAAACGCCCTGCCTCATTAGTGATGAAATAATGTCATCGGAAGAACCTGGAGCTGGTGGAGCCAAATGGCAGGTTATGAATGCCTTGGGAATCAGTGTGGGCAGACGATTGCACTTCCCCAAGGCACCTGAATCCAAAATGCTGATAAGCCTTCCCATCAATTATGGCCAAGAGTTCTGCACTCAGAGCCAGCCTGATATATTCAGACCACAGGTCTGCATCCACATATCTAGTGGGTGGGTAGACATATTTTCCCAGGTTCAAGAGCCCAGAAATGGACACAGCTCCCAGGAAAATGCTGAAGAGTCCAGAGAGATAAGAGAAAGAGGCGGTCACAAGTTCTGGTCACTGATTTAGAATCTACTTTGCTAGTGACCCTGTATTCCCCTCTGCATGGGCCCAACTGGAAAGGCAACTCAGACAGCAGACAGCTCCACCAGCGTTTCGAATAAATTCAGAGAACCAGGGATGTAGCTCCTCCACAGTGCTTGTTCAGCATGTGTGGAGCCCTGGGTGCTGTGGGCACAGTGGTGCATACCATAAGGTCAGCACCTGGAGGGTAGAAGCAAGATCAGAAGTTTGAGGTCACCCTTGGCTATATAGTGAACTTGAGACCAGACGAAGATACAAAATGTTCTGCCCCTGCAATCCAAATAAAATGAAAGGTGCCTTGCAATCCCACATGCAGAACCTCATGGTATGGAAACCTGGATTAGTTGTGTCCAAAGTACAGGAACTGACAAGACACTTCCAGATCAGGCACTAGGAGCTGCTCCCTCTCCGCTTACAAGGAATGAAGGAAGTGTTTGCTAGACGCTAGATACAAAATAGCATCACTGTCTATTCAGCTACTAAGTTCAAGAAGTAGGGCTAATTCACCCAGAAAGCAGCCAGATGGTACCTCTGGGTGGGTCTGTTGCCTGCGGAAGGACATAAGGGAACTTTGTGGGGTTCCAACATTGTTCTAGATCTTGATCAAAGTAGCAGTGACACTTGTGTAAAATATCATGAACCCACATATTGAGGAGTAGCAAAATTTAGATGCTGGATGTGTCAAATATCAGTGGAAAGAGAAAAGAGGAAGAAGGAAGAGACTTGGGAAATGGTAAAGAAAGTCAGGAAATGTTGCAGAATAACATTCTCAGATGTACATTGTCATTCTTCTAACTACCTCATCTGGAGAAAAGTCTGGAAAAAAAGCAAATTGTAGCTGGGCAGTGGTGGCGCATGCCTTTAATCCCAGCACTCAGGAGGCAGAGGCAAGTGAATCTATGTAGACCAGCCTGGTCTACAGAGCAAGTTCCAAGATAGGCTCCAAAGTTACACAGAGAAACCCTGTCTCAAAAAACACAACCACAACAACAAAAAAGTAAAAGTCAACCATTTGCCTGAGTGGAGGACAGTGGGAGAACAGCCCGGTTCTCCACGTCTGCATTTGCATCTGTGCCTATCAGAGCTCCAGCACTCCTATGAGGCACCCCAGCCTGGCCCCTGCTCCTCTACAGAGCCCCTTGAGGAGTTTTGGTTTCTCAAGACAACACTGGCTTCGTGGCGCAGCTTAAGACTTGGCTTCACTGACTGGGGAGATGGCTGGGTGGGTAGAGTGCCATACAAGAGTAAAGGCCAGAGTTCAGATCCCTATAACCCCCAAAAAAGGGTCACCTATAATCTCCTGGGGCAAATGTTCTAGAAAGCCTGGCTGAAACGGTGAACTGTGCCTCTTTTCCGGCGTGACCCTGCCTCAGAACATAAGGTGGAGCGTGATGGAGGGAGACAGCAGATACCACCCTCGGGCCTCCACATGTGAGTGCACAGAGGTGTGAACACGCATAGACACACATGGTGGGGGGGCTTTGCATCTGGAGCTCTGGAAATTGCTCCGCTCAGAATCGTCCAGAGTTTCTGCTCATGGACTCACAGGTTCCCATTCAGTATCCACATCCTGGAACTGAACAAGGCCAAGTGCTACTCTGGGAACAGCCCATCCCGAGCCGTCATTCAACTCTACATGCAAGCAGAACCATCTGTAACAAGCCATTAGGAGAGACGGGAACTCAGGGCCCTGTCCACACCATTCTGACTCTTCCTGTTCCCTCCCCATGAGTGACTGAGTGGCCAGATCCAGGTTACAAATGGTGCGAGGGGTGAATTCCGGTCACACCTCCAGCCAGGCGAATGAACCCTTGCTCTGTCCTCTCTTTAATATGAATGTGACACCTGCAGGCTACAGCTTGTCGCACTGTGAGAATTATTTCTCCATTAAAATGCAGGAATTGGAGCTTTGCCCAGGAAGGGCAGCTAAAAATACTGCTCTCCAAGGCACCTGTCATCAGGGGCCTCAGTGGCCACTTCCCTCACGCTCAGCTTCCAGGCCCATCCCACACCAGCGAAGTCTCTTCTAAAGCACTGGATAGCGTCATGTCTGACCCTCACCTCAGCCTGACAGAAAGAAAAGACACCAGTTTTCTCTCTTCATGCAGATGGGAAAACAGGGGCAGATCGCTGGCCCAGAGTCGCTGCACACCCCACCAAGTCAGCAGTAGCGTGTCACTGACTGCTGGTCAGGAAAATCTCAGTCGGCCCTCACAGGTGCCCAGCATGTTTTCTCCATCGCTGTTGCCTGAACCTCACGACAAACCTCCGAAGCTGTTGTTCAACCCCGGGTGGGACTGAGGTCCAGGGAGGGGAGCAAGTTCACAAAGGCACCAAGAGTCAGGGGAGGCAGAGATTTGAGATTCCAAAACCCACCCAAGAGCACCCAGTGTAAGACATCAAGCAAGGCAAATCTTTTTGTTACCAGAGCCTTCAATTTTATAACAAATCCTCCAGTTTGGGTTGTTATTGTTTTAAGACAAGATCGCATGTAGCCCAGGCTGCTCTCAAACTCAATATGTAGGTCAGATGACCTTGAACTCTGATCCCCTGTTTCCAACTCCTGACTGCTAAGAATGTAGATGCGCACTACCATGTCCCATTCACACAGTGCTAGGGATCAAGACCACGACTTTATACATGTTAGGCGAGCACCCTGCTACACATCTCCGCCCCCAAATCACCGAGTTTGTAAAGAATGTCACTGCTTTCCGTGCAGGGCGCTTTATCCCCATTCAGTAAAGAAACCCTCAGTGTTGAGGTTTGAGGGATACGGTCATGTTAGTTGTGGAGCAGGGGTTAAAAAAAGCTCAGTAGCCCGAGCCCCACAGCCGCGCAGCCTCCTGTCCACGGCTCGGGATGCTCCGACAAGGCCTAGTGCTGAAGCTATTTCCCAAGGGAAAAGGATGCAGGACATTCTGCAGGCTCCCCTATCCCTGAATCTGGTTCCCTGGAAATTAGTTTTTCCTCCAAGTTCACTATCGCCTCAGACTTCCTAAGTGGGAGGTCTCCAGAAGTGAGCCCAAAGGTCAATGTCCTGCTCCATGTCAGAGTAGAGCCAGGTCCTGGGCTACTCCACATTCCACTGGGGTCAGCCAGGAACGGTGTGCACACCCATTCCTCTAGCATCTGCTTCCTCCTGCCCCTCTGCCTCTTAGGGTTCTTTTGTTTGGTTGGTTTCTGTTTGTTTGTTTTGTTTTTCTCCTCAACTTGACAGAAGCTTGAGAAGAGGAACCACAGTGGAGAAAAAAATCTTCATGGTGAAGTAGGTAGCCCTATCCCCGCCTGAATGCCCAGGACAGATTCCTCCCCTTTAGCACCAAGCCACTCCACTGTTTTGCACACATCACAGACAAGAAGCTATTGAAAGACAAAGGCATTTATTTCTCCCACAGTGCACCCCATTAACAGAGTCTCATATTTGCTTCTTATTTTATTTTTGTTTTGTCTTTTGAGATGGTTTCTCTGTGTTGCCCCAGTTATTCTGGAACATGCGCCATAAACCAGCCTGGCCTCAAACTCAGAGATCCTCCTGCCTTTGCCTTCCAAGTGCTGGGATTAAAGGCGTGCACTATGACACCTGGCCAGGGTCCATGTAGATTATCCTCACATTCTCTAGTACTGGGGTGGGAGAGATGCCTTCAAGGGGACACCAGAAGTTCTGCTCTGCAAGAAGCCAGGGCTGTCAGAGACAGGCCAGGAACAAGCCCCAGCTCCAGAATAGCACCATGGTAAGGAGCAGTCCTTTCTTGTCCTCAAGGGCTCCAGCTGTTGAGACGGTCCCAGTATGACATAGGCTGCTGCCCCCATCCAGGTCTGCATGGCTGTGGCCACCTGCCTTTCAGTCCACATCTAGAAAAATTCTAGAAACACCCAGTTCTCCAAGTATGGCAAAGGGCTGTGCTCTCTCCAGGCCCTGGGTCAGAGCTAGTGTGGGCTGAGAGTGAGGTATCCAGAAACTGTGGGCACAGATGGGTATAATAGGAAGCAATTTCCCAGCTGGAAGCTGAGGTCTCGAGGGAAGGGACTCTGATTTTGTTGCAGGACCCTGGCACCCAATTCAGCACTGACCCCTATGGTGGCTCTACAGACATTGATTTAACTAAGAAAGTAAAAGTATCAAAGATTCCAAACTTGGGAAAGCACAGGGATGAAGGCTGACCCCTTGAGGGGCTCTGAGAACCAGGGCAACCAGTACCTGCTTCCTGTGGGGAGAATGGGCACAGCCCAGGGCAGCCAGAGGACACCATGCAAGGCAAGTCTGTACGTGTCCCAGCACGTGCAGCCGCAAGTGTCACTGTACCTGTGTGTACAGATGGGGAGAGTGTCCCATCACACTTAGCCAGGGAGGGAGACAGCCAAAGCCAAGCCCAGGGCAGGTGAGTCTGGACGAAGTCTTGGGAGATGCTGAAGAGATGGGATCCACACTAGTCAGAACAAAGGTTGAGGAGCGGTAAGTGAGATGTAGCAGGGCCATGGGAAAAACCAAGAGATGACGGTGCAGCTGGCTTCAAATAAAGATGGCAGGGGTTCATCTGAATAGTTAGTTATGTGCCGTGGAGACTAACAGCAGTTACACAGTCTGTGTGACTTTGGAAGAGCAAGGAGGTGGGGTGATTTGTGTGGGTTCATAAGAGAGAAGGTCGAAGGAAGGCTCACGTGTGGTGTCACTGGAGAAACAAGGCCACTGGGTGACTCTAGAGGAACACTGAGGTGGAGCGGTCTGTGTGTCACGTCCATAAGAAATAAGGCCGCAGGATGGCTCGCGTATTGTGTCACTGGGAAAATAAGGCTGCAGGATGATGGGAATCAAGTCCATCAGAGAAATAAGGCTGTGGGTGGCCGATGTACCACATCCTTTGAAGAATGGTGTGGAGTAGAACCCATGCGTTGGGGGTGGGGCTCACATTGAGACTCAACACAGCCAGAGAGTAGGTTCCCCACCTGGGGAAGGCAGCAGCTCCCAGTCAGGCTATTTCTTGTCCATCGTCTGCATTTCATGGTAGGATGAAAGCAAAAGGAGAATTGCATTAGAAGTTGAAAGTTCTATTCCTGGGAATACATCCAAAGTCGCTTACCCAGGTTGGGGGTGTGTACCCCTAACCTGTGCACAGGACGGATAGAGTAAAGCATGTGTCTTCTTACACCACCACACTGGAGGCCAGTATGTACATAGGAGCCAGGTAAGACAGTCACTCCACACACTCCCTCCTACTGACCTGCTTGGTCCATCTGACTCACCCTTCAAGGTCTGGCCCAATTCCCTCCCCTGGCAGGGCGCCTCTTCCCATCCTAATGACCTGGAGAGTAATGTTGCAGGGAACCTTCTCTCTCTGACTTTGCCTCCGTATTGAAGAAGATCCAAATCTGACACCCCCAGCCCCGCTCCACATTCCAGCTTGCACCAGCAGTTTAGAAGGCCTTGGGGACACATGGCTCTGCTCTTCTCCCTTCCTTTGGGTTCTGTCTATATCCTCAGGAAAGGAACTGTCATATCCTGTCTCCACAGTCATCCATCTTGGACACAGACTAAAGTCAAGGTACCTGCTGGGGAGCAGGGAAGCCCATTGCTTCACCCATGGGGTTACTCTGGGCAGCAACTCTCTTCGGCTGATATTCTCATCAGCAGGACTTCACTCTTTTGCGCTCACTGCTTCCCATCCACAGGGAGATCTCTCATTTCCTAGGCTTCCTAACAAACCTGCGGACGTAATAATGACTGCTGTACCGACTGGCCACCTCCTATGCACCAGAAACGGCCACCCAGATGAAAGCTACACTTCTAGGCTCACCTGAGAAACAGGTCACATGACTAGGTTCTGTCCAATGGGATGTATCTAAAGTGACAGGAGCTATTTTTGGGCAAGCCCTAGAAAGATGTTCTCTGCCCTCCTTCTCATCCCTTGCCTCTGGAGGCGGCATGGCAGCCACAGCAGCAACCCCTTGGACCCAGGGATGGAAGCTTCATGTTACAGGGTACAGAATCCAGGCCCCAGGCTACCTGCAGCTTTCAGACTGTCAGACAGAAGAGGCAGAACTGCCTGGTATAGGTAAGCCTAGTGCAGGAGGATTATCTGTATTCTGTCAATCATATTTTAATAAAACGCTGATTGGTCAGGCAGGAAGTATAGGTGGGAAAACTAGACAGGAAGTAGAGGTGATGCAAGGAGAATTCTGGGAAGCAGGAAGTTCCTCTGCCATTCCTGCCCAGATCACTGAAGAGGCAACATGTGAGCTGTCACACTGAGAAAGGTACTGAGCCGTGTGGCTAACATAGATAATGATAATGGATTAATATAAGTTACAAGGACTAATAAGAAACCTGACCTAATGGGCCAATCAGTTTATAATCTTATGGAGTCCTGTGTGTGATTTTCCTTGGGAGTTGCCAGCTGTGGGGTACCGGGTGGGACAGAAACCCCAACAAGCCGGCCCTCATGTTATATAAGCCTGTGTCGGACATCTGGGTCCTACTGGAGAAGCTAGGACTGGGGTTCCTCTACTCCACCATTTCACCAGGTGAGTGAGTGCTGTTCTTCTGGGGGCGGGGGACACAGGTCAGCAGCAGAAGGGTGATGATGGCTGCCCCACTCCCCAGCTTCCTACACAGACACACAAACACACACATTCCATTTCAGGCAATAATATATCTTTACCTTCTTTGTTTTCAGAGTGTTTCAGAGGCCGCAGAGCTGAAAAAAAAAGGGGGGGAGAAGGAGCATGTGATAAGAGAGGAACCCCAGGGAGGCAGGCAGAGGAAGAAGTAAGGGTGAGGATGCAGAAGGAATGGGATGGGATGGGCAGGCTGGGAGCACCATCACAGTGCCAGGGGAGGAGCCCCAGACGGCCATCCCAAGCCTCAGTCCCACCTCCACCGTCTCTGAATAAGTCCCGTGTGTCTTTTCTCTCTGAGCCTCCGTTTCCTGTTATTACAGACAAGCACCCGTCCCCAGACAGCACATAGAGCCCAGATCATAAATGAGGTGAAATGAGGACCACATGAGGACCATGGTTGCAGATGCCTCCAGAGGCCCAGGGTCACGTGGCCGAGAGGCTGACTGACTCTCCTGTCCATCCTCTCTCCCTTTCTCCCTCCCTCTGCCAACATCTGTCTCTAAGCATGAGACGTGAGGCCGATCCCAGGCTCATCTCCACGCCTGCCACACAGGTGCCAACAGGTGGGTGGAGAATTAATTGCAAGATTTACAGCAGCCCCCAGGCATCGCTCCTGCCCTTCCTTCTACTGGGGTGTCAACTGGAGCAGTCCAAGATGGCTCATGGGAAACCTGCCTTTTTCAGCCTGGTCACTCCTGGTCCTGCAGCTCTGGGGCACCAGGACCTCAGTACCCACCCTAGGACCAGATCTCAGCCCAGGACCCTCTGCAAGGCACCTGCCTCTCTGGGCTCTAGAGAGCGCTTCAGAATAGCTCTCAGGTGCCATCAGAACAGGGTCAAGATGGTATTTTCAGGAGAGACATGGAAGCCCAGAGCGAAGCACCTCACCCATGTGACACAGCCTAAGAACAGGGCAGCTGTCTGCTGGTTCACAACGGGGCACCACTGTAAGCTCTGAACAAGACACCAGCTGCGGTACTGTTTTCTATATAGATTGTCTCATTTAACTCAATCCAGAAAAGCCTAGAGACCTGTTCTCATGCCTTTTTTTTTTTTGACATATGGGAAAAATAGGCCAAAAAGACAAATATTTGCCAAAGGCTCCTTTGTTTACAAGAGACTGCCTCTCTCCTGAAGCCCTCTTCCCACCCCTGGGAAGCTCTCAGGTGGCATACTCCTGAAGGACAGGTTAGGGTAGGCAGGAGACTCCTATGGCAGTCCAGTACTCTACCTCCGGACCCCTTCTGGTTTGGGGGCTCCACCAGAGGGTATTTCATTCAAACCTCAGAGCGTGAAGTCCTGTTCTCCTGTCCCTGATGCCTCCCAGTGAAGAAGGCCAGACTCACCTGTCTTGGAGCCTTCTCCATCCCCGTCTTGGTCCTCAGCGCCTAGAAGGATGAATAACAGACTTTCTCAGTGCTTACATTCCCACACTCCACACCTTCTGGTCAGAATGCTTGAGACCCGAGCAGAGCAGAGCTGAACCTAGGATAGAACGGAAGGGCCCAGCAGAGAGCCCAGCACTCGTCTGGCCAGGGACCAGCCCAGTCGACATCACCACATCTGCACCCCACTTCTGTTATGTTTTGTATGTGTGTGTGTGTGTGTGTGTGTGTGTGTGTGTGTGTGTGTGTGTGTGGTGTATGTGCACGTGTGTGTACATGTGCACAAAAGCCAGAGGTTGGCATCAAGTGTCTTCCTCAATCACCCTCCACCTTATCTGAGACGGGGTTCCTCACTGAACATGGAGCGCGCTGACTGAGCTAGACTGGCTGCCCAGAGAATGTCAGCGGGCCTCCTGTCCCCCTAACCCCAGGGTTACAGAAGCAAGCTGCCACGCCAGACTTACGAGGGTGCTGGGGACCCAAACTCAAGTCCTCATGCTTACACAGCAGGTCCTTTACTGACCGTCATCTCCCCAGTCCCTCCGTACCCCACTTCTGTCTGTCTGTGCATCCTCTACCAGCCTCGCACAGCCCAATTAACCATCCAAGTCACAAGCATCACTTACCCACAACTGACCAAACTCCCTGCACTTCCTCCTCATGCCTACTCGCCTTCCAGCCACTACTACCCAGCTCTCACACCTCCATCTACTCAGGTGCCACCCACCAATGTCCACTCACTAGTACCAATTCATAACCCCCTCACCCAGCAGACAGTAGTATCTGAGGAAGACACACACTCTCGTGACACACAAGCTAAATGCTCACCAGGCTCTGAACCTTTTCTCACTCAGACACACTCATCCCTTGTCACACTGCATGCAGCCTTACACACTACCATCTTCAAGACACATCACACTCTTGTTTACACCCATCTGCCATGTTCACTCACGGACAGGCAGGTTATACTGATTCACAGAGGACAATTAGCCACGAGGTCTCAGGCTAGGGCCCTCTGTGTACCCCCTTCCTGTTCATTCTGTCACGGACATAGCAACTGCTGGGTTTGAATGCCTGTCCCCTCCCAAATGCATACTGAAATTAGATTCAGCAGTATCAAGGGGCGTGACTTCTGGGCTGGCTCAATAGTTAAGAGCATTGTCTGCTTTTGCAGAGAACAAGATTCTGTTCTCAGCACCCACATGGCGGGTGTAATAATAATCTGTAACCATGGTTCGGTGCATACATGCAGGCAAAACACACATATGCAAAAACTTTAAGTTTAAAATAAATTTAAATTTTAAATTAATTTTTTAAAGAGGTGACACTTCTAAGAGGTGATTAGGCTCCGACAGCTCCACCCTTGCAGATGGCACCCCACTGTGACCTTCACCCTCTCATTTTCCACCAGCTAATGATCAGCAAGGCCTCACCAGATGCTGGTGCCTAGGTATGTTATTGACTTACTTACTTTGTGCTTGTGTCTGAGTGTGTTGTATTCGCGCATGCCTGTTTACATGTGTGTGGGTGCACATGTGGGCATGCATATATGTAGAGGTCCAAGGCTGACAGCAAGAGGCTTCTTTGCTCATGCTTCTTGTTATTCATTAAGGCAGGGTCTCTCAATCGAATCCAGAGCTCACTGATATGGCTAGTCTAGCTGATCAGTCTGATCTGGGGAAGCCCTGCCTTTTCCTTCTAAATGCTGGAATTATAGACAAGCTGCCATGCCCACTAGATATTTAGGTGTGTGCTAGGGTTCCAAACTCCAGCCTTCATTCTTTTATGGCAAGTGACTTCTCTGCTCTCCCTACTACCTGGATATGATACTCCCAACTTGAGAAGCACAGGCCAGTAAATTTCTGTTTTTTATTCGATCCTGTCTCGAGTATTCTCTTACAGCTGCACCTAAGAAACTAAGACAGTGACATGCCTCAAGACATGTGGACATGTATGCACATGTGCGTACCTACATGTATACACACTCCCACACACACACACGCTTACCTGCATTCTCCTCTTCGCAGCTCTGCTTGATCTTTCTCCAGCACACAAAGGCCAGGGCCACCAGCAGTACCACAAGGCAGACAGAGAGCCCCACAGTCACCCACAGAGCCTCAGGGGGGAATGTCATAGGCTGCCCTGGAAGAAGACGTTCTGAGGTGTGAGCAGGGGCTCCTAGTCTCACTGTGCCCCACCAAGATGAATGAAGCTCACTCAGGCTCCTGCGGCCATAGCTCCATTCACCCTACCAAACCCTGCATTCACCCTACAAAACCCTGCCACTGTGGCTATGGGTGATGGAAACATGCCTCAGAAGGGAGGGGGTGGAGTCAACAAGCCTGAGGTGACTAGTGACCGTGGATAGGGCCCCACTGACCAAGGATAGGCTTTCTGTCTTCTTTTTTTAGATTTATTATGTATACAGTGTTCTGTCTGTCTGTATGCTTGCTGGCCAGAAGAGGGCACCAGATCTCATTACAGATAGCGTGAGTCACCATGTGGTTGCTGGGAATTGAACTCAACTCAGGACCTCTGGAAGAGCAGTCAGTGCTCTTAACCTCTGAGCCATCTCTCCAGTCCCAGCTTTCTGTCTCCTAAGAGTGGCTTAAGATCTCTAAGCTGACCAAGCGTCCAATCTCCCGGCTTTTCTGTGTGACGTCACCAGAGGAAGTCCCACTTCAGCCATTCTCTGCAGAGACCCTGACACCTTCTGGCCTCTGCCCGTTCCCTGTCATTTTCTCTTCCTAGCAGAGGTTCCCAAATTCCCCATCTGGCTTAAGAACCATCTCTCCAGAGGCCTCCCTGAGGGTTGCAGTCCCACCTGGCTTACATCATCCTGAGGGTCCTACATCATCCCGAGGGTCCTACATCATCCCGAGGGTCCTACATCATCCCGAGGGTCCTACATCATCCCGAGGGTCCTACATCATCCCGAGGGTCCTACACCATCCCGAGGGTCCTACATCATCCCGAGGGTCCTATATCATCATGAGGGTCCTACATCATCACGAGGGTCCGACACCAGCCAACTACAGCCCTTGAGCCAGGGTGTGGCCTGTTTTTGACAATCCATGAGCTACTATTAGCTTTTATTTTGTAAAAAGTTACTAAAAGAAAGGAGAAAGAAAGGAAAGAGAAGAGAAAAGAAACACAGAAGAACAGAAGGAAAAGCTCCAGGGCTCTGGAGAGGTGACTCAGCTGGCAGACTGCTTGTCAGACTACTTGAAGCCCGGGGTTCAGTTCCTAGCATGACATAAACGAGCCATGGTTTCCCATGCCACCCATGCTCCCAGAACTAAGGAGGTAGAGATGGGAGATTAAGAAACTCAAGGTCACCCTGATTGCATATTGAATGCAAAGTCAACTAAGACAATGAGATGCTGACAATAATAAACAGACTAATAAACAAAATCAGCAGCTTTCAGAAAAGCGGCACGTGACCTACAAAGTATTCATTCTCTGCCTCTTTACAGAAAGTGGGCCTAGTTCTAAACACAGATGAGGGCCTAGAGTGAGCGGCTAAGCCACTCACGGACTCGTGCAGATCTGGGGGAGCCTTATCAAGGGAACGTTCACGTGCGGCCCTGCGGCTGCCCCCGTTAGATACCTAGGTCAAGAGAATGAGTGAAGCTGAGGAGCTCAAGGTGGAGCTGAGGCCAGCAGCTGATCTAAGCCCAGCCCCACAGGACTCCAGCATAGATTCCACCCTCGCCTAGAGCCACACTGGGTGCTGGGCAGAGCCTTGGAGGGGAAAAAATAACCTCTAACAAAGACAGCTGGTTCCTTTTGCCCTCTGGGAGCAGTATGCAGTCAGGGCATCAGCAGCCTCTGGAGTACACAGGCAGCGGGGCCCTGCACCTGAACCTGCAGAGGCCCAGGCCCAGAGGAACTGGGGTAAGTCCTTGCAGCAAATACGCTTTCCACAAACATGGGCTGGGGGCAGGGCACACTGCTGCTCGGGACCCTGGAATCTGAAGAAGCCAGGAGAACGGGAGCGGAAGGCCACAGTGAAGGCGGACGGCTAGAGGGACAGCCTGGAGCATTTGAGAGAGACTTCTGGAAATTTCAAGATAGGCTTCCTGCAGCAGTGGACAGGGCAGAGCAGCAGAAATACTCAAGGGACTCCACCCCTCCCTGAAGAACTACAGGCAGCTAATGGTTGCTAGGGGAGGGAGGGACATTTCTTCAGCGATAGAGCCCCAGGATAAAGTGCCCAAGCTCCTCTAATCGATCCGGCACTTGGGCTTCTGTAAGCAATGCTAACGGAAGTCACTGTGTCATAAAGAATAGACAGTAAAATGGGAGGGGGACACCAAGACGGGCTAGCTGGTAAAGAGGCTTCTGGGACTGCCTGACGACCGTGCTAGCCCAGAGCCTTTGGGGAAAGGGAGAACCGATGCCCGAAAGTTGTCCTCTGACCTTTGTATACACACACAGTGAATAAGGTTTTAAAATAATGAAAGTAGGAGGGGTCTAGCTGGGCAGAGGAAGGGGATCAGCAGGAAAGAAAGCGGGGCATGAAATGGTATTAATGGTGAATATCATCAAAATGCATTATACACACGCATGAAATATCACAAGGAATCTATTCAATATCTAATTAGTATAAGCTAATTACTCAAAGGGAAAATCGCCCTGTGTTCGCCCCTAAACTGCCTGAAATACTGTCAGACTTCCTCCCTGCCTCTAGCGAAGGGCAGTCAGCTGGGGCTCAGACCTATATCTCCAGTTCTCGCTCCAGAAAGCCCTCTCCAGAGAGGCCTGGCACAGCACTCAATGTCACTAACCCCCCTCAGGTGGAGGGAGAGCAGCTAGAGGGCTGAGCATCGAAATCCCAGAATGCTGTACAAGGCAGAGCTGCCCGAAGCAAAATGCAGGCCAAGGGCTCCAAGGCAAGCCAGATCTGTTCTAATGAAAACAGGAGGCCAGCCGCGGGGAGGAGGGGAAACTGGGCTAAGAGGCCAATGCTGGAATTCAGATCCCGGGTCATCTGCTTGCTGCAGAATGTGGGAAGCAGGATGCAAAGCGGTCCTCGAATAGAGTTTGGAGAGGCTGGGGACCCGCCAAGCTCTGGGCAAATCATGGCCTCTATCACTTGTCCAATTTTCAAAGTGGTGTCTGGCCCCCTAAAATGTTTGGAGCCACTGTGCTAGTCTCTGGTCTTGGGGGAGTCCCTTTTCACTGGGTCTCAGTTTCTTGTCTGAATGATGCTTGACAACACTAGCCCAGATGAAATTCTTTCCGTGCTAGCCACAGAGGTGTAAAGAATGTTCTCTGAGGTGGGGCAAATGCTCTTTCCACATGCAAGCCCTTGCTTCACAGGGTCAGTGCACAGAGAGCCCAGCCCACCTGGTGCAAGAAGCCATGAGTCCTCTGTCCTTCCTGTCTCACACCACAGTTCTTGCTCTTTCTTGTAAACAAAGTGCTTTGTCTTTTTAAAAAGGATTTTTGTGTGTGTGTGTGAGTTCACACGCATATGTGAGGGTACCCACAGAGGCCAGAATACAGCGTGTGATCACTCAGAGCTCTAGGCATTTGAGAGCCACCTGATATGGCTGTGAGGATGTAAACTCTGGTCTTCACGATAGAGCAGGAACTGTCCGTAATCACCAAGCCATCTCTCCAGCCCCAGTGAAATATTTTTTTTTTCCTATGGTGTTCTCTACAAGGTCAAGGTGGTACTCAGGACATGAGGGAACACAGGAAGTGACTCCCTTAGATGACGCATAGACTGGCTCCCTACAGCGAAGCCTAAGGTGTACCCGGACACAGGCAACCATTGGAAGTAAAGAGCTGGGTGGGCTGGGGGTGTCGGGCAGAAGTTGTGGAATGAGCAAGACAAGGACCAGTGAAGGACAACCTGCTTTCCTGATCTCAGAGATGTAGACGGTCCCTGGGAAAGCTCGCATGGCCCAGAGGTAGGACCTAGGGAGCCAGACCTAGCACACAGACCTACCAAAGCACTGAACTGGGACACATCAGGGACAAACACAGACGGTGACTGCCTACCTTGGCACGAAGGTGAGCCTAAGTCCTCTTTACAGCCTAAAGCACTGGAGGTGCCTACCTGGGCTAGATAGAGCTGACCTGGAAACCAGAGATGAAGTGACTTCCTGAACATTAGAGGTTCAATCTAGCATTGACCACATGGGGGCAGTAGAGACAACTCTGGCTATCCAAGGGCGCTCTAGTCTGCAGGGAGGGCTGCCCTTGACCCAGGTGAGTGGGATCCACCTGGGAGGCTCCACAGTCTCCCAGGGCTTCACAGTTGCAATTCACACCCTCTTGTCTCTAAGCAAGCCTTGCGGCTACCCCAGAATTCTCCCCACCCTCTAGAGTCCAGGCAGGCACTTTGTGGTCCATGTAAGAGGCATAAGAGCTATGGAAAGCACGTTCAGGAGAGCAAACGTTATAAATGATTTCCATCAGCTCAAGGAAACAAGTGCCTCAAAGACTTCTCACTGGGGAACCTTTGGGAATATTTGAAATCTACATCCAAGTATTTTTATACTGATATTCCAGGTTAGGGCCTAGAAAGAAGGTAGCTGCTCCCTTAGTCCTTCCCTAGCTAACCTTCTCCCCTTACCTGTGATGGTGACTGAGCCATGAGCATCTTGCTGCAACACGGGGTTGCGTACCAGGCAGCTATAGGTGCCATTAGCACCCAGCACCACCCTCAGCACGCTGTGGACATCAAACAAGCCCCGCTCATTGGCCATCTGGGATGTGGTCACATTGCCAGTCAAGGGCAGTCCCTGCCCATCCTTCCAGAACACCTCAGCCTCGGGATAGCCCTGGTAGCTGGAGCACGTGATGGTCACCATGTTCCCCGGACGCAGGTCCTTGCTGGGCTCCAGGGTCATGCTGGGCTTCGAGTAGGGGGCTGGAGGGTGGCAGCGGGGAGAGATCAATAACAGTCAGGTCAAGAGATACAGTGGAGAAAAGGACACATGGGCTGTTAGCTAGGAGTCAGCCCTGGGGTTTAATGGTGGGGTCAGCAACGGGACAAGCAGGTGGGCTGCATGCAAACTGGGTAAGGGACGGAAAATGCTCCCTCCTGGTACTGAACTGCCATCTGCTGGCTAGCAGCAGCACTGACAAAGTCCCGGATGTTCACAAAGCTGGTGAAGCTGCCCTCATCGGCTACATGCGTGTGCGCTGTATCCTTAAGAACACATGGCCCCAAGCCAGCAGGTCAGGGGAGAGTGCTGTACTCCTGGGATAGGCCCTGCCCTGGTCCCAGCCCATGGGGAAGCTGCACGCCAGCTGGTTAGTACCCACCAGTTACCCGATGAGGTTAAACTGTGCCAGGCTGGAGCCAGGCTGGGGGAGGAAAGGCTAGGGTGGTGTCACTGTCCAGCAGGGCCACCACGGATCTTCAGAACCTGGACCTCCAGAATCATAGAGACAAAGCAGTAAGAAAGGACAGAACCTCTCCAGCTGCTCCGCAGCCTCTTTTACCATCAAAATCCAGGCCTGTTCCCTTTCATTCTCTGGGCAGACCGAGTTTCAGATCTGACCTTCACAGCAGGCTGGCCTTGTCTGACGAGAGCTCCAGCAAGAGCAAACCCCTTCCCCAGCAGAAGTTCTGTGGCTCTCCTGTCCCGTGGCTTTCTATTGACCCAGATGCATCTCCATTCTTTCCAGAAATGTCTATAGCCTTGGAGTCTGCGGCGGGGGGCGGGGTCAAGAAGGCCTTTGACCAGTGAGGCCACACTACTTGGAGTCCCAACCCATCATTCTCCTATCACTCTCAGCTATCTCCCTTGTCTGGGAGATTGAGGATAGGGAACTAACTTCTTTTAACTTCAAATGCAATCGACAGAACTATAACTTCCCTCTGAGGTGCCATTTAAAACAAACAAACAAAAAAAAATCCATGGGCCTTCTATGGGTTGTCATGGCGACTGAGCTGTGCACATCTTACTGCACCACCAGGTTGTGTACCAGGCAACCATAGATGCCATTACCTACACTACCCTGCACCACCCTAAGAAGGCTGTGCAAATCAAACAAGCCAGGGTCCTTGGCCAGCCAAGATGTGGTCATGTGACCAGTCAAGGTCGATCCCTGTCAGAATACTGCAGCCTCAAGGCAGACCTGAGAGTTGACACGCAGGATTATCACCTTGTCCCCAGGCCACGTGGGGCTCCAGGGTCACGATGGACTTTGAGCAGAAGGCCAGAAGGCAGGAGGGTAGCAGAAGGCAGGGGCTAGCGACATCAGCAGTGCAGGAGATACAGTGGGAGAGAGGATGCGCGAGGCTGTTAGGGCGTGAGCGAGATCGGTGGGGAGCAGTGTATGAGAGGCCACATGCAGAAGAACGGAGGGTGGACGTGGAAGGCAACCCCCTCTCCACACTCACCTGCCACCTGCAGGCTAACAGCAGCGCTGTCAAAGTCATGGATGCTCACGAAGCACGTGTAGCTGCCCTCATCGGTGACTCGGACTCGCTGCAGCCGCAAGGACGCGTTGCCCTGTACCAACAAGTCAGGGAAGAGTGCTGTGCGGTTGGCATAGGCACTGCCTCGGTCCTGGCCCTCAGTGAAGCTGTGCACCAGCTGTTTGGTGTCTGTCAGCTGCCAGATGAGGTTGAGCTGTGCCAGACTGAAGCCAGGCTCCAGGGAGAAGGAGCAGCGGAGGGTAGTATCAGCGTCCACCAGGGCCACCACAGGGTCTTCAGAGACCTGGACCTCCACAGCTCCTGAGAGTGAGTCGGAAGGCGGTTAGGAAAGGTGGGGTTTTCAGGGTCTCTCTCCTTCCCCAGCTATCTCTAGCTTTGCACAACCTTCCTTTTAGGTCTGTGCCTCAAGGGAAGTTCCACATCTATGCTCCTCAGTGTAAGCAGCTAAGGCGTCAACATGAATTAGGAATGTAACAAGGACCAAGACCAGGTCACACCCTAGAGCTCATTTACATCCTAATGGAAGAGAGAGAACACAGATAACTATCCGCTTCTGATTAGACTATGGGGGGGAGGGTTGGGGAAGTGGGGCTGCGCCTCAGTGTTAGACCACTTGCCCAGTTTTGGATCGACTCTGTCCCAAAAAAGGAGAGAGAGAAGAGAGGAGAGAGAGAGAAGAGAAGAGAAGAGAAGAGAAGAGAGGAGGGAGAGGGGGGAGAGAGAAGAAAAACAAAAAAAGAAAAAGAGAAAGAGAGAACAAAAGAAGCCAGGTCCTCTCTACCTGCCGGGTCATTTGCATTTCCCACAATTACATACTATTTTATAACTAGGCAGGGGTGCCTACAAAAAGTGAACACCCAATGTCCTCATTGATTTTCTTTGAGTGAGAGAATTTCATGGGTGTTTTTCCTTTGCTTCACTTCCTAAGTAGACATACTTAAGAACACCCCTGTCTTTAAATAAAGTACAAAGCATGAACTCTGTGAAACACAGAGCCTACATAAGTGGGCGCAGGAAAAGGGGCCAGCAGACAGAAAGATCTATGGGAAGGTAACCCAACGGGAAAGTCCTCTGGAGGCGGGCCAGACAGGCTTTTGAGAGACTGGAAGAAACCTGGGGTTTCTAGAAGCCTTCGAGGAAATAGCATTAAGAAGGAAAGTAGTTGTTAAATGTAATGTGGGTAGCAAAGCCTGAAGCTTGCCCTGGCTCCTCTACAAGGGGAGACTATATTGTAGAAGGGTAAGAGAGAGAGTGGTCAGGGGCCACCTCAGAGGTCCTCATAAGAAGTAATAGTGAGGGCTGGAGAGATGGCTCAGCGGTTAAGAGCTGCTCTTCCAGAGGTCCTGAGTTCAATTCCCAGCAACCACATGGTGGCTCACAACAATCTGTAATGATATCTGGTGTCCTCTTCAGGCCTGCAAGCACATGTGCAGACAGAACACTGTATATATAATAAATAAATAAAAATGTTTAAAAAAAAAGTGATAGTGAAACTGGCCAGTGGTGGTACACGTCTTTAATCCCAGCACTTGGGAGGCAGAGGTAGGTGGATCTCTGTGAGTTCGAGGCCAGCCTGGTCTACAAAGTGAGTTCCAAGAGAATCAGAACTCTGTCTCGAAAAACAAAAAAATAAAAAGTAAAATAACTGTGGTAGTGATGCAGTAGAAGAACAGCACCATGAGGCAGAGGCAAGAGAATCTCTGTAAATTCAAGCCAGTCTGGACTATATAGCAAGTTATAGGCCAGTCAGGGCTCCATAGTGAAACCCTGTCTAAAAAAAAAAAAATGTAAGAGTGGTCATAGAACCAGCCAGATCTGAGATGCAGTCAGAATTACCAGGATTTGCTGACTAATGACGGGTGAGAAGGAAGGAATGTGTGGTGGTTTGGATGAGAATGGCCCCCACAGGCTCGTATGTTTAAATGCTCAGTTCCCAGTTGGTGGAACAGTCTGGGAAGGGTTAGGAGGTGTGGCCTTGTCAGAGGAGGTGTGTCACTGGAAGTGGACTTTGAGGTCTCTAAAGTCCATGCCACCCCTCACTCTGCTGTGTGCTTGTGGATTAGGTGTAAGCTCTCGGCTGCTGCTCAGTGCCTGCCTGCCTTCCTGCTGCCATATCCCCCTCCCTCACCCCATGATGGCCCTGGACACCCCAACCCCAACACTGTAAGCAAGCCCCCAGATGGAATGCTTCCTTTGAAAGTCACAGCTATAGAAAAGTAACTATGTAACAGAATGTAAATCATCCTGAAGGAAACCCTGAGTTCCCAGAGAAAAGGGTCCTGGGACAGGCTCCTCTGTGGTCACCTGTGCCCTCTATCCTGTGGATTTCCGGGTGGCTTTCCTGCCAGGAACCTCTGTTTGCCTGTCATCTCTGCTTCAGCGGCTCTGAGAAGTCAGGAAGGGTCTGGGGAATGTGCCGTGCTTGGACGCAGAGATTAGGTGAAAACTCTGCCCACAGGAAGTGGGTCCACTCAAAATAAGTGAAGCATGACCTTCAAAGGAAGCTAACTGAATATAGCACCCACAGAGGGCTTAGAAAATTGTATTCATTCTGTGGTTAGTGTTTTACTGGGCATTCCACACTTTCTTAGTACGTGATGTCTAGAGGTTGAAGCTGGGCCTGGCTATCTTTCAGTAATTCCATGAAATCTTAGGCCAGTTCTCATCCTTGCTAACTAGACACCAAGGTGTCCCTTGCAGGGGACATCTGGGACGTGGAACTCAAATCACCCAAAGCCCTTTCTTTTTATCAAGAAGAGAGAATCAGGCTGGGTGTAGTGGTCGTGCACGCCTTTAATCTCAGCACTCAGGAGGCAGAGGCAAGTGGATTTCTGTGAGTTCGAGGTCAGCCTGTCTACATAGTGAGTCCCAGGATAGACAGCCAGGGATACATGGTGAGACTCTGTTTCAAACAAACAAATAAAAATAAACAAAAAGAAGTCAACCCTTAGAGGCAGAGATGGGTATTGCTTCCCATGACCACTAGATGGCACCAGACACTCGGCTTTGTTTTCTCTATGGGTTGATTTACAGAGCTAAGTACTATCCAGGAAGTACCTTGATTTGTTCATCATGGTGATTGAGCACTGACTACATAGCAAGCATCCATCCCAACCCTGAGGATAGGTCCTATCTTCTGAGCAGGGGACAACAGGAAACAAACAAAGGAACCATACGTCAAGTGGAGGCAAAAGCTAGGAAGAAGGCGATGAAGCACAGGAACAAGGAGGGAGAGAGGGCTATGCTTTTATGCAAAGCAGCCAAAGAAGCATGCTGAGGATCTGCCATCAGAGCAAAGGCTTACAACAAAATAAAGAGCGGAATCATGCCTCTGTCTGAGGGTAGAAAGTTCTGGGCAGAGGACGCCCTAGGCACTAGGGTCCTCAAGAGAATTTACACAGTGTGTTCAGGAACCTGAACTATTATAGTGCTCAAGTCCCATTTCCCAGATGAAAAAGTACAGACTAAGGTGAAGAAGGTTGCCTGTGGATCTCAGAGATGGAAATCAGTATGATTCTTCATGACAGAGCCAGCCTGGCAGTAGCCCAGGAAGGAGTAGGCATCCTCACACACCGTCTTGACAATGATCTTTCCCCTCACCTGTGAGGCAGAAGTATAGCACTCCCAGGGCTGTGCGCATACACACACCCACACTGGGGCCGCCCCATCCACGCAGCATCTTCCTGTGCGGCAGCTGACAGCTGGGCTCTCTGTGGCGGATGGCTGCTCCTGCCTGTGGAAGAGGAAGAGAGGCCTTTGTCTCCAAAGTTCCTCCCCAACACTTTCCTAATTCCTCAGGACCATCCAAATCCAAGAGGGAAGAAGTCAGGTAGCCAGCAAGACAAGGTTGGTGAAACTTGGGGTCCAGGCTGTGCCCAGGTCACTTTGGCTGATGGGAGAGTAAAAAAGAAGGTTTTAGAGAAACTTGGGGTTTAATTTGAAAAGTACACTCTACCCTAAAGGTAGCCAAGAGCCACTGAAGGTTCTGGGATAGATAAACAGCACTGTGAGGGCCACACTCTACCCTAAAGGTAGTCAAGAGCCACTGAAGG